AGCAGATAAGTTTTTAAATCTAATGTAGTAAAGGGGGTGTTCACACTTTTATGGATGGGATATTACTCCCCTTTTGGCACAAACGTGGTAGAAGGCACTTTTCTCCAGCTTTGCCTGATGTTGCAGCTGTGGGTGAATGTTATCTGCCCGTGGTTATCCATATTGTAGGCCTGAGGCTATGAGGCTGTGGTTTGTCTGGGCTTACCTAGGAAATTCAAGGCATAAGCAGAAGTTTGTTGCATATAAGTATTCCCCTTTTTTTAGAAAACAAAATTTATAATAAACCCAAATCATTATTTTCTTCAGTATATCCTTCGTTTCCATTTTCCATTTTAATTTTTATGTTTTAATGGAATTGCTGGATAACTCAGTGGCGTAGGTTGAGAGTTTGATTCTCCACTGGGCCTCCTTGGCAAGGGGTGGCCTGAGTGATCCCTAAGGCCCTTTCCAAGTCTTTCCAAGTGTATATACGATCTTCCCTGACCCAATGGGAAATGAAGATCGCAGGAAAGGGGATTTGAAAGTAGGCAAGGGGTAAGTAAAAATACAGAATGTGGCAGAGAACAATTTATATCATTATTGCTTTTACCTATATGATTTCTTACTAAGCTTACTCCATACTAATCTTGCCAATTTTTTCTAAGCCTTTAAGATTTACATTTATATCTTAAGTCTTCTTTCTTATAATCTTAACCCATTCATATTCTCATCTCTCATCCAATTTTACAAAGGTTCCCTTTTTTTTCTAGCCTCAACAGTTTCTCTGTCTTTTAATACTTCCGATAAAATATAAATCTCTGCTGCTCTTTTTTTCCCCCTATTCAATCCTGGGTTGTTGATGTTTCCTCCTTTTTCCAGTATTGTGCATATAAATTTTGCTGCTGTAATTACATGTATGATCAAGTATCTTTTTTCTTCTTTCCATCGAGTCTGGTACTATATTCAACCAAAACAGTTCAGGGGTTAATGTGGAATTCTACAAGATAACATTTTTTGTAAAATCTCATGGACTAGTTTCCAAAAGCTTTTAATTTCCCTGCAAATCTACCACCTATGATAAAAACCACCACATTTCCAACATTTGTTAGAGGTATTCTGATATATTTTGATAATTTTTAGGTGTCATATATAATCTGTGTATATATTTTCAGGTATCATATATAATCTTATATATATTTTCTTTATGATTAACTGATTTTATTAATACTGTTTTCCCATGCGTGTGACCATGACTCCAGGTTAATATTGTGGCCCACATTTTGAGTCCATTTTATCATACATTCTTTAATCTTGCATTTTTAATTCTAGTAAATAATTGCACAATGTTTTAATCAGTTTTTACTTAACATTCAGATGTACCTTATCTAATGGTTTCTGTTCCTTGCAAGACCTATTGCTTTATCTTTTGTGTACCTTGAATCTATTTGCATTTTTGTCTACCAGTCGAGTATTATATCTTGTTCTTCTAATCCTTTCCTTGATTTCATACTTAAGTCCTTTTTCAACCAATCTCTCTATCTCAAGAGTTTCTTCTTTTCCATTCAAGTTGGTTGTGTGAATACTTCCATTGGTGAGACCCATTCAGGAACTTTTTGGTAACTTTCTTCCTGGATCTTAGTCCATACCCAATTCAAAGCTTTCCTTATCACATGGTTCTTAAATGGTTTATTGTCTTTTGCGTTTTGATGCCATCGGAAAGCATGCCGCCCTAGATTTAAATCATGTCCTAGTTTTAATATTCTGTCATTTTCTAAAATGACTCACTATCCAAGCTAGAGCACAGGCTTTATAATATAAAAACCAATCTGGAAGTCAAAAGCCTCCTCTTTGTTTTGCGTCTTGAAGTGCTTTTTATTCTAAGTTTTTTTCCAGGTCTGCAGTTCTATTATTATTGTTATTTTTTTTATTATATAAATGTAACCTAATTTTCTTTTTCTGTTTTACAGGGTCGTGATTATTGTTCAGAAGAGGAGGACATCACATAGTACCCATGCTAATCAGAACAGGAATACTACTGTGTAAATAGATTATGGTCCAGTCAAGATATTTTTTTGGAAGTCTTTTCAAGTAAACAGCACTACATAACAAACGATCATTTTCACATTGTATGCTCCATTCAGTTACAGTGTTTCTTAATGATCATACAATGGACATTGCTCATGGAAAGAAGAACAGCTTTGTGGTGGAACTGCCTTTGCCATGCCTGGTTGAAACTTGTTGCAGATTTTCATCAAATACCTTGTCGAGGAACTCAGCAGATCTATAACATGAAATCTGAGTGACATTCTAGATCTCACTTGGGCTGTTGGCCTGTTTTCTATTGGCTGAAAATAGTGTTGTACAAAACCTTCCATAACTGAGCAGTTGAACCTTCCAGTTCATCCTGTTCACCAACCCACCCGTGGATGGTGGAGTTCTTATTAATGCTGACAATTTAAAGCTTTGGAGATGGGATGCTTTGCCATGACAGACCTCGTTTCTCTGCTAGGAAGAAGTTACCAATTAAAAAGCATGTTGTCACAGAAATGCCAGATATGGTGATGCAGGAGCAGAAATCTGTATTTTTTAAAAACACTTTATCTTTTCCTAGGTATTTCAGTGGAGGAATAAGCTTTCAGTATTGGCTTTGCTGACTGCAGATGGAAGTTGTGATCCCAATCAGTTTGGATCCCTCTTTTTTTTAAAGAAAAATAAACATTTTACTGTTTTTAGGTATTCTTGTCTTATACCCTTTCATACAGTCCAAGTGTGTTAAGAGTAATTGGGTAAAATGGAGTGGGCAAAGTACTTTGGAACTATAATTGGGGAGGATGTTATTTTAAAGCACCTGTGGGCCAGTTTGGGACGTCTTGTAGAGTTTATTTTTCCATACTATAAAAAGATTATTCTCTTTCTTCTCAAAGGCAAGATGTAATATTTTTAAGAAATATTGTTATGAGTAAAAATAATCCGAAGGTTTGGGGAAAAAACACTTCTAGATTTATTTTTAAAACACACATACATTTATTATTTAAGGATTCGCTTTTGTGTTTTGGGGAGTTATAACCATAAAAATGCTTCTTAGAGACTGGCTGTTTTTTTTAAAAAAAAATCTATCTTTTTGCCTTAACAGGGATCAAGATGGCAACGCATAAATAAAATTAGACAGTTGGGGTGGGAAGCACACTTTGAAACATTCTGTGGCAGTTGTAACATATTTGTTTCCAGGAATCAAGGTAGACCCTGAAGTTTTTGTCTTCATGTGTCCAACTTCTTGAATTAGATGTCATTACCTAATGATCCATGAGTCCAGTGGGGCATAAGTATCTCTCCTCATCTCCATTTTGAGAAATCATTCATTCTGGTGTTACCACAGCCCTAGCAGGACAAGTAGGTATTGTACTTCTTTCTGCCATTGGTCGAACCACTCTGACATTATCCTTAGCAGGTGTCTCAGAAAGTCTTTTAATTTTGGGCTTTATGTCAGACTGCTTGGGCATTTTGCTTCCGAGGTTGGTGCTCAACATTTGTAAAACTAAACAATGGAAATATTACTACACACTATGCAGTGCATATTTGAATGGCAATATTTTGAATATTAATCTGTTAAGGGGATATTGAAGTATTTCAAGTGAAATGAGAAGCAGGGGTTCTGCTTAAAAAATGATACGTCTTTTAAAATTTGTTACAGCATAGAGGTCTCATTGATGCCTTTTTATCAGTTTTATTTGGCTTTTTCATTTCCATTTAAAACCCTTGCATTAACTTCTAATTCTCTTCAGTGGCTTGCTTCTTTGTTTTTTTACTTTCTTTCTTGCTCTCTTCTTCTGTTCTTCTCCTTATACCTCATATTCTCCCAGTTGTTCTCCATACCACTCCATTGCCTGTGATGACATTATCTCACAATAAATATTTTATTTCCTTTGATGCACTTCTTCGTGTGTAACAAAACATGTTTAACTACTTAAAACTTAACTCCTCACTTAATCTTTCTTTGGCCACCATCTCTCCCTCTAACTTCATGCCTTTCCCTCCGTCCTTAACTCCCCTTAACTTTCATGCCTTAATTTCCTCTGTTTGCAATGTATTCTTCACATTGGAAGCTTATGGTCAAATTGACCAGATAGGCGGGGTATAAATTAAATTTAAATAAATAAAATAAAATAAATAAATAATGAGTGTATTACCTTTTGGGGCAGGGACTAGTAAATTTAAGCACCAGAAGTGGACCCAAGTTTCCTTGCCCTCTTATTAGAAGATGTTTCTCCAGAGGCTGCTGAACAGCTGTTCTCATGGTCCCTCATCATTGGCCATTATAGCTAGGACTGGTGGGAGTTGAATTCCCAAAACATCCGGAGGGCCACAGTTGTCCACTCATGCTTTGATCTCCAAAGAAAATAAAAGGAGTAAACATATAAAACAGAGTAAAGCATAGATAAGTGCTCAATTGTATCTTCTGCCACTGCCATCTGTAATCACACCTGGGAGAAAGGACAGTGATCCATTCTGGAGGCCAATAGAGCTGGACAGGGACTTGGCTCCATAGTGAGAAATGATTTCTTACAAGCAGCAAGAAGTGTTCAAGCACAGAAAATAGGAAGAAGAATGTAGAAGAAGCATTCATGTGCAGGAACCACATTCATGGTACTCATGATATAGCCTGTTCAAGCAGCATTTTCCTTGATATCATCAATCATTTAGGGTTTTTTAATGGGGAGGGGAAATTGCCCTTAAAAATAAGGATAACTGGGTGTCAGATAAATTCACATATGCAAAATTTTATCCATTCCTGACTATTTGTACAGTGTCACTGATACTAGTTTCTCCATCTTTACTAGAAGTTACCGTTGCTGTTCTGGGTTCCCTGTGTCTTGTTTGATCAGAGTCAGTTTTTCTCTAGAATTAAAACCAAGGCTTTTATTCTCCTATCTGGTGTTGACTTTCTTTCATGAATGATGCTTTTTTTTTTTTTCAAACAAGGCAGCCTGCCCTTAGGAGGTTTGGGGCTTTTTAAATTTAACCTGTGGGCAGAATTGGGGCAGGTTCTACAGTGAGTTAAACTACCTGAACCCAAAGGGATTATAAGATTCCAGATATGAAAGACATACAGTATCTGTCTATGTTCACCTGATTTTACCAGTTGAGTAACATGTATGGAAAAGTAAGACCCAGAGAAAAATACTGCAGCTGATTCCCAGTCCTCGAGGTTCTGTGATCTAGCCAGCCTGAAACAAAAATAGTCTTGCAGTCAGTCTTTAGGGTATCTTTTGCTTGTTCCCTTGCTGTTTTAAAGACCGTGAAATGTCTCTGATTTGAGGCTGCCAACCAGCCAGGATGATTTCATGGCCGTATAGAGTGACTGGGAAGATTTCAGGAGAAAGAAACAGAAAATGTGTTCTTTTTCCTTACATCTCTCCTGAATCCTCCCATACGGTGTCTGGAGGGAAATATTTAGTTTTTTGATTCACATTGTCCCAAATTTTCAGGTACTTGCTGAGCACTTGGCCTCTGAATATCAATTGCTGGGGAACACAAGCAAAGAGCACTAATATGTTCCTCTCATGGTTTCAGACTTCCTATGGGAATCTGATTGGCTCCTAGTTGACAAAATGCTGGACTAAGTTAGGCCTTTAGACTGTCCCAGCATGACTCTTCCTATGTCCTCATGTTTCTGAGTTGCATGAATGCTCAAAACCCACAGATTTTTCAGAAAAGCAATAGAATGGGAGCTTCATGGTGGGATAAATTGCTTTCACCCTTTCTCCGTGTTCTTCCAGTGGAGAGAAGAAAAGAAAACCAAGCAGGAGGCCTCAGCATAAAGAAACAGAACAAAAAATGCTGAGCCAGTGGGCACATTAAATCATTTATTAATAGTGTTAAGTTGTTCTCAATACTGTAAGATAGAACTTGGGAGCTGGGATCTAACAGTGGTGAAAAAACGTGCTTTTAGTATATATGTACCAATTAGCTGGGTCCCCCCATCCCTCCCCTCCGCCTCCCTCCTTAGTAGAACATGCTCTGTATGGAAGTTAAAATGTTTGGCTGCAGGCATTTTGATACAGAGGTGCCCTTTCCTGCACAGACATCCATGTGGAATCTGCTTTGTTCCAGTGGGGATGGGGGCACATGTGAATGAAGCATTCACTGCTAATGTTTTCTCCTGGGGTTCTGGGCCTGAATTGTGTAATACTGTATTGATCAGATTCACAGCCACTGTAGTGCAAAACGTTGCACTTTATTCCCAAATTATAACCAAAGTGTTTTTGTTTAATGATCTGCCGGGTCTGAAACAGGTACAATTCATTTGCCTTCAGAGTTCATGGAAAGATGGTAGAGTGGACAGCCTTTTTCTTTCTCTTCCAAACATTTTTATACCCTCCCTCTACTATGTAGCATCAGAGACTTCAGTTTCTGAGGTTTTGTAGACTTTGGAAACAAGACTTGAAAACTATTTACTAAAGTGTTCCACTTCTAAATTGTATTAAGTTCTCCGGGTGGGGTGGGGTGACTAATTTTGGCTGTTGTTTCTATATGGAATTAGTCAAATGGGTAAAAAAAATGGGCAGCCTTGGAACGGTAAGTTGTTTGTTGGATAGCCAAATTACCAAGAAATCTATTTCTTGTTCTGCATTTTCCTGAAGTTCAGCAGTCCCCCCATCTACTGGCAAAGCTATGGCACGAATGTCATATTTATAGCTTTTGTGTTATTTCACATGTGTAGGAGAGTTTGATTTAAACAAACCAAGAAGATTTTATTGAGGAACCACAGATTAGCAAATATTAATGGAAAGGTACAGTTGTGTTCAAAATTATTCAACCCCCAATGCTGTAAAGGGGTTTAGGGACTATAGTGTACATTTGGAATTGTATTCAGAATGAAATCCTACAAGGACGTTTTAAAGAACCAAATGCAACTAAAATAACATCAATTGTTTATGTAATACAGCCACAATTATTCAACCCCTTAAAGACTACCACTCTGAAGAAGAGAGGTTCATTCAGGTGTTTTCGATCAGGTATTGAAAACACCTGTGGATGTCACCGAGCACCAATCAAGCATAATAAGCACCAATTAGGCAGCTTTAAAATGACTGTGATACTCAGCTCCTTCTAGACATTTACTGGTGTGGTTACAAACATGGTGAAGTCAAGAGAATGGTCCAGGAAGACAAGAGAAGAGGTGATTTGTCTTCACAGGAAGGGCAATGGCTATAAGAAGATTGCAAAGAAGTTAAACATACCAAGAGACACCATAGGAAGCATCATTCGCAAATTCAAGGCAAAGGGCACTGTTGAAATGCTACCTGGTCGTGGAAGAAAGAAGATGCTGACTTCGACTGCTGTGCGCTACCTAAAGCGTAGAGTGGTGAAAAGTCCCCGTGTGACTGCTGAGGAACTGAAAAAAGATTTGTCAGATGTGGGTATAGAAGTTTCAGCTCAGACAATAAGGCGCACACTGCGTAATGAAGGTCTCCATGCCAGAACCCCCAGGCGCACCCCCTTGCTGTCTCCCAAGAATAAGAAGAGTCGACTGCAGTATGCCAAAAGTCATGTGGGCAAACCACAAAAGTTGTGGGATAGTGTTCTGTGGACTGATGAAACAAAATTAGAACTGTTTGGGCCCATGGATCAACGCTATGTTTGGAGGAGGAAGAACAAGGCATATGACGAAAAGAACACCTTGCCTACTGTGAAGCATGGCGGAGGGTCAATAATGCTTTGGGGCTGTTTTGCTTCTGCAGGTACAGGGAAGCTTCAGCGTGTACAAGGTACCATGAATTCTCTTCAGTACCAGGAGATATTGGATGAAAATGTGATGCAGTCCGTCGCACACCTGAGGCTTGGGAGACGTTGGACCTTTCAACAGGACAATGATCCCAAGAATACCTCCAAGTCCACTAGAGCATGGTTGCAGAGGAAAGGCTGGAACATTTTGGAGTGGCCATCGCAGTCACCAGACTTAAATCCGATTGAGAACCTCTGGTGGGACTTAAAGAAAGCAGTTGCAGTGCGCAAGCCTAAGAATTTGACTGAACTGGAGGCTTTTGTCCATGAAGAATGGGCGAAGATACCCGTAGATCGCTGCAAGACACTTGTGTCAAGCTATGCTTCACGTTTAAAAGCTGTTATAACTGTAAAAGGATGTTGTACTAAGTACTAAGATTGAATGTCACTTGGGGGTTGAATAAAAACTAATAATGATGTGAGCACAGAAAAGACAGTTGTGGTTATTTCATTATAAACTTAAGGTTATATTTCTCTGACCTACAAGTGCCTCTTTCATGTAAATATAAGCAAGATGACTGAATGATCAAAATCAATGTCAAAATGGCCAAAACATCCAATTTCAGTGGGGGTTGAATAATTTTGAACACAACTGTATCTATCTATCTATCTATCTATCTATCTATCTATCTATCTATCTATCTATCTATCTATCTATCTATCTATCTATCTAGTGAATGATAAAGGTTAAAACAACAATAAAGTATTTTTTATGTATTTTAACACCAAAATAACTTCTTTACAGAGTCTTAATAGACTCTTACACAGGTTACCTCTCCTGGCTGTTAGGCATAGGATGTGAATGATAAAGGTTAAAACAACAATAAAGTATTTTTTATGTATTTTAACACCAAAATAACTTCTTTACAGAGTCTTAATAGACTCTTACACAGGTTACCTCTCCTGGCTCTCAGGCAGACTTCTTTCTCTTGTATCAAACTCTCATATCTAACTCTCTAACTGATTCTAAACTGAACTCTAAAAACTGGCATAGAGCCCATTTCCTCCCCAAAACATTCAAGTCCCACTAACCAAGAAGAATTAAATCACAACTGCCAACCATACTGGCACTCTGCCCATATACAGGCGTACAATGGAATGTTCATACAAACCTGGTATAGTCAATTGTATATGCGCTTGTATATCAGAAAGAGTCTAATTGCCAAAGAGCTCATGTTAATAAATATCACAGTCTTGGTTTCTAATAATGGCCGAAATCCTATTGCCATTTGTGAATCATTCAATAATAAAACTATTAACTACTTACTGATGCACATTGGACTCTTGAGCCAGGTTGTGGAAGAGGTTCCACTGCCAATGATTCTCCTCCAGGTGGACAAAACACTTATGCAGGCTGCACACCTTATTCTATAGGTAGCATACTGGGTGTACCACATACATCTGGATGTTGACAAGCGTCTTCACCACACGAAACACAAGTGGGCCAGATCATTAGTGACCGTGAAGACTAGATACATGTCCTGCCTGCTACGCCATGGAGTCCTATAGTAGGGCGTCCCACGCAAGACTTGGCACTACCCTTCACATGCCAGTTCCACCCATGGGTATTGCTGAGTAGTTGCACAGACAGACCACCCAGCCAACACCAATTAGGAACCGGAGGGGGGGCTGCTCACACTGGAACTTAATCCAAGCAATTACTACCTCTATACACCTAGGAGGTAGGAAACAGGATCCAAACGTGAACACGGCTGCAGGACTAGTCCATTCAGATGGGCTGTGGGCAGACTCCTCCTCCTGTGGTGTGTACTGTGGTGCACAGCTCTGCTGCTCCTCCCCCCTCCTCCACCGCAGGCTCTGTTTCCTCCTCCAAGGCTGACTTCTGCCATTTCTCCTTCACCATCCTCAATGCACCAGCTATGCCAGTGCCCTGGAAAGGCAAAAGGAAACACACATACATGAATGAAACATATACATGCACATTGAGTGGAAAAGACAAAGTTGGTAGACGTTGAAGACCATAAGGAAAGAGGAAGACTCAAGATGAGTCATCTGCCCGCCCGGTTATGCTGTCCAACACCAGGGTAGACTGGAGAGGCGGGGGGGGAGTAGCCATTGTTTACAAATCCAACTTAGATGTTACTAGGCGCTCTTTGGTGGTAAAGCCAGGTCTAGAGGCACT